GTGTCGTGTCCCCTTTGGAGTTTGGCTTTTTCCCGTCCTATTCCTGCTACCCTCGCCACTTGTAGCTCAACTATGTATTCAAAGCACAGAACCACAGATCACTACCTCCAAGGGGCCTTTCATACTGATATCCTCGGATGTCCTGAACTTCTCAAGGTAATGCTAGTCCAATCTTGCTGTTCATTCTCTTCTCTCTCTCTGGTAGTGTCTCCTAACAGTTGATGCATCATTTTCCAGTACCACATCCATCATCTTGGCTTTCCATGTTTAGGACTCCCCATGGCTCCAGGTTTCCCAGTCAGTCTCCTTGTGGATTGAAATCGACCCAACTAGTAACTTTGCTCTACCCTGTGAGCTCTTCTGCCACCTCGGCTAGTGTGGTTTACCATGCCTCTCAATATTCTTCTCTGACTCCTTCAGTTCTGTGCAGGTTTGTACATCACTGCATTACCACCTTATGGCCTATGTACAGTTCCTTTTGCCCATTCCATCCATTTTTTTCCATGTCCTTAAATCTCCACTGTTTTTGATGAAACATGCAACTCCTCCTCCCTCTCTGCTGTGTGTGTGAGTTGTACTCACCTATTTGTACACACCTATTTGTTGGTTGGCAGGGGTCGAGTCCATAGCACCTGCCCCGCCTACTCACGTGATGCTACTAGGTCCTCTCTCTCCCTGCTCCAGGTGAGCTTTATCATACTCGCCTTATAAACATGTATGGTGCCCGCCTCCACACTTCAATTTCTAGCTATTCCACGGCTCTGGACGACTCTATGACTGAAGAAATACTTCCTAACACCCTTTGATTCATGTCTGAGACTTCACGTTCCAATTGTGACCTCTTGTGTCTGTGCCCAACTCTGGAACATCCCGTCTTTGTCCACCTCGTCTATTCGCGCAGTATTTTATATGTCGTTATCATGGTCTCCCCTGGCCCTCCTGGCCTCCAGTGTAGTCAGGCCGATTTTCCCAACCTTTCGTTCTAGGACAATCCCCTAGCTCTGGGACTAGTCTTGTGCAACTTTGCACTTTCCTCTAATTCTTGACGATGCTTAGACTAGGTGTGATTCCAAACTGGGTGGCGCATACTCCATATGGGCCCTGACGTAAAATGTATACAGAGTCTTGAACGAACCTTTACTGAGTATCAGAACGCTATCCGTAGGTTTTGCCAGGCGCCCTTATGCTGCATGCAGTTATCTGATTGATTGCGTCCCTCGGAGATATGCTCTGTTATAACTCACCCCCAGATCTTTTTCCTTGAGTGAGGTTTTGCAGACTTGGCCCTTCTAAACTATATTGTGTCTGCGGTCCTTCTTTGCCCTTCCCCCACTCTTCATGACGTTGCATTTGGCAGGGTTAAACTCAAGGACCAGTTGCTTGACCAGCTTGTAGCCTGTCCAGGTCTCTTTGTAGTCCTGCCTGATCCTCATCCGATTTGATTCTTCTCATTAACTTCACATCTCCGCAAAACAAGACACTTACTGGAAGTCTATCCCTTCCGTTATGTCATTCACATATACAAGAACAGCACAGTCCTAAGGACTGACCCCTGTGGATCCCCGCTGTCACAGGCACCCACTCTGACACCTCATCACGTACCATGATCTGTTTTGCCTCCTGTCCAGGTATCTCTGATCCCTTGCAGTGCCTTTCCTGTTATCTGTTGCCTGATACCTCTAGCTTTTGCAGTAACCTCTTGTGAGGAACTGTGTCAAGGCCTTCTGCAGCCAAAAAAATGCTGCGACCACCCCCTCTCTCTTGTCTTACTTCCTGTCACCTTGTAATAAAACTCTATTAGGTTGTGACACAGGATTTTCCCTCCCTGAAACCATGCTGTTGTCATTATACACTTGTTTCTTTTCCAGGTGCTTCCACACCTCCTCCTGCTGATCTTCCCTCCATGACCTTGGGCATACTATTCACATTAGTGATACAGGGCTGTAGTTTAGTGCCTCATGTCTGTCTCCCTTTTAAAAAAATTGGGACTACATATGCCATCTTCCATACCTCGGGAGGGCCCAGGCATATGATTTGTTGAAGATCTTGTACTAACTAGCACACAATATCTCTGCTCCCTCTTTAAGGACCCACGGAGAGATGTTTGTCTGGTTCCCACCGCCTTGAGGTGTCAGGGCACATGTAACTTCTCACCTCCTCCTTGTTATATTGTACCTCATCCGCACTTGCTGGTGCACCCCGCCTCTCTGATTTCCTGAGTCCTACTGGTTTCCACTGTAAAACTATCTTTAAATCTGTGTTGAGCTCCTGACATAACTCTCCGGTCGTTTCTTGTGAATTCCCCATCACCCTTCCTCAGTCTGATTACCTGGTCCTGGACTGTTGATTTTCCTCTGATGTAGCTGTACAGACAGCTTCGGTCAGCTTGACTTTCAATGCTATGTATTTCGATTGCCGCTGACCTCCCTTCTTATCTGTCATATTCGTTTCTGCTCTTCCGCTAATCTCTTTATTTTCGTGTTCTCTGTCTTCTGTACCTTTTCCACTCTCTATACACCTAGTTTTTGCTCCCTACACCTTTGTGACCAAGGACTCGTTCTGTTCTTCCCATTATTTCTGTTCCCTTGGGAACAAACTCTCTCTGCCTCCTTGCATTTTGTTGCCACATAGTCCACATTTCTTGTACTGGAGGGAAGTCTGGCCCCTCCCCACTGAAGTCTTGAAAATAAGTTCCTCAAGCCTGAGTAGTTCCCCCTTTTGTAGTTTTGGTTTTTCCCACCCTATTCTGCTGCTCTATCCACCTTGGAGTACTCAACTAAGTGTGGTTGTGTGTGTGTGTGTGTGTGTTGTGTGGTGTGTGTTTGTTGTTGTTGGTTGTTGGGTTGATGTTTTGTTGGTTGTTGGTTGTTGGTTGTTGGTTGTTGGTTGTTTGGTTGTTGGTTGTGAAGTTGGTGGTGTTGTTGTGGTGGTGGTTGGTGGGGTGGGGGGGGTGGGGTGGTGGTGGGTGGTGTGGTGTGGTGGTGGTGGTTGGGGTGTGGTGTGTTTGTTTAGTTGTTTGTTGTTGTTGTTGGTTGCTTATGGACGACACTGCGTGTATTGTCATTGTGATGGAAGGACCATGTGTGTGTATTGTCACGTGGGCGGAGGACTTTTGTATATATTGTCATTGTGTTGAGGACGTGGTGTGGTGGTGTGTGTGGGTGTGTGTGTTTGGTGTGTGCGTTTGTGGCGTTTGTGTGTGTACTCACCTAGTTGTACTCACCTAGTTGAGGTTGCGGGGGCGAGTCCGAGCTCCTGGCCCCGCCTCTCACTTATCGCTACTAGGTCACCTCTCCCTGACCATGAGCTTTATCATACCTCTGCTTAAAGCAATGTATGTATCCTGCCGCCACTACATGGCTTCCCAAACTATTCCACTTACTAGACTACTCTGTGCTGAAGAAATACTCTAACATCCCATGGATTCAGCTGTGTCTTCACTACCAACGTGTCCCCTTTTACTGTGTCAATCATCTGAACATCCTGTCTTTGTCCACCTTGTCAATTCCTCTCAGTATTTGTATGTCCTTTATCATGTCCCCCTATCTCTCTCTGTCCTCCAGTGTCGTCAGGTTGATTTCCTAACACTCCTCGTAGGACATACCTCTTAGCTCTGGGACTAGTCTTGTTGCAAACCTTGCACTTTCTCTAGTTTCTTCACGTGCTTGTGTGTGTGTGTGTGTGTGTGTGTGTGTGTGTGTGTGTGTGTGTGTGTGTGTGTTGTCACTGTGGAGGATCATGGATTTTAAAGGTAACATGTGGGGGTGCAGTTGTTGTTTTATTAAGCGTGCTTCGATATGCACACAATGGGAACAAAAGCTGTTTCCTATTTGCATCAGCAGGGTGCTGCTACAGCATTCTGTGTGATAGTTATGCAATAGGAACAAGATCTTATTGGTTTCCCTGTCATATTCCATTACAGGATTGGATGTGTAGGATGTGGGGAAGGGAGGGAAGGTAAGGTGGTGGAGGCAGCCACAGGGAGGTCAGGAGTAACATGCATGTAACTGTAAACTCACTTTCATCTGAAGATGGCAAGGTCATGCATATAGCCACCACTGCTTCAGTTACCAGCAGGGTGACCACACTAACCTACCTCCAGCATCACATTCTTTCAACAAATTCAGTTCAATTCAAAGTTTATTCTCTATAAGGATTACAATGCTGAGTGTAAGAATTTGGTTATTGTGTGGTTTACATGTAGTAAAATAATAATTACAGAGTGTACCACTAGAACACCTAGCATGGCTAGGCATTTCGGGCAGACTTATATTAAATCTTAAGTTTAAAATATTACAAAATTATGAGGTAAGTTGGTATTATGGCTAAGTGACTAAATACTAGTTGTGAGTTTAGCAATGTGAATGCTTTTGTTTTGGCACTATACATAGTTTCAGTATTGGAGTATCACAGGCCAACTTATGACTAGTTAAGATTCATTATTTTGAGATTGAGATTGATATTTCTGTTTATGGTCAAATGGGTGAGTGAGTGTAAGTGTGAACCACCAGGTGGTATTCATATTATTAGTTGACAGGGTGTATCAGGGAGATAAGATGTTTTCTGATGGTAGTTTTGAAGGTGATGAATTGTAAATGATTCACCACTAAATATATTAGAAAAAAAGGAAAATTTTGTTTATGAGATTTTTTGAAAATTATGTAAAATATTCACATTCCTACTTGAAAGGCTTTATATTCCTATATATCCTCCCTCTTCCTTATACTACTACTAATGAAATTACTTAACAGGGCCCATTCAGTTTAATGCATCTTTGTTGTAGAATGAATTGAAACAGACATCATTATTATTTTTGTTATTATTAAAGAGTTTCAAATCGTAGTCCATTAAAGGTCCAGTGGTTGTCTGTCCATCACATGTGGCCTTGTTATGTTCCCACTATGATATGTGAAGGTGTACTAGTGTTACTAAATTGGGGATGTGTTAAAGAACTGATGTCAGAGGGTGTATTGTTATTAAGTTGTCATCTCATGTTTCAGATCAACCATGATGGACTTGGCTCACCTGCGTCAGCGCCTGGCTGCCCATGGCCAGAACACCTTCTGCAGTTCTGGGACGTACTTACTGAAGCCGACAAGAGGGTGCTCTACAACGACCTCAGCGAGTAAGTACTCTACCACCCCGTTCTCTCTCTCACTCTCACCCTTAACTCTCTAGCTTTCTCTTTTTAGCCTTCTTCCCACCCTCCCTCTCCCCTTACCCTCTTGAAATCCCACTTGTGTAAGTAATATTCTTGATGAATTTTTATGCTCTGGTTTAACTCCCTTATTCTCATATTTATTTGCTTGCTTGTTATTTTTTTATGATTTTTATGTTTTATTTATTTGTTTTGTGTGGCTGCTTGTGTATGTCTGCATATGCATGAATGCATCTGCACATATTCACATTGGTGTATAAACTGGTTTGATGGTTGTAACACTGACAGGTATATGGACAAAAGACAAGTATAGAGATCAAGCCTTTATCTGTATAATGTTTCTCTCGAAGTTATTTTTTATTTAGGTTTACTAGACCCTCAAGTAACATACAGGGTTATGTTTCTGAAAATTAGAACATTATTTGAATTATTGTTAACTTAAGTGAAGAACATATGAGGAAAATAGGGTTATGATTCTGGAATCTCCTAAATAGCCAAACAAATTTATAGAAAAAAGATGAAAAGGAACTTCACACTTTCTTATCAACAAGAAAGTGTATAGATAGGGTTAATGTTACCCTACTGGGCTGACATGGATGGATGTGGGTCTTGTGTTGATGTCGATGCAGTGTCAAATGTTAATGATTGTTGTAGTGCTTAAGTGCTCTGTAATGCTTTCTGTTCTGTTTTCCCAGCAGTTATTTTATGCAGTAGATGATAAGGTTTTATCAGCTGCTCAAGACCCCACTTTAGAAGAAGGCATATAGGCATGTTATGAACAAAGTCTGCAAGTTTACCAGCAGCATGGAGTTAGTTACATAACTTTTCCAGTGTTAACTATTTTTGTATAGCCTCTTCTACTTCATACTCCTCTGTTATCTGCCTCTTTTCCTTGGGATTCAAGCTCTTCCAGCTGGTACTTTATATGATCACTCTCCTCTCACACTTCTTGCCAGACTCATAATTTCATGGACCTGACTACATACTGAGGTAGAACTGACTAATTCTTCACTACAGTAGTCCACAATTTACCACAGCCTTCATGTTGATTGGGGGCTCTTAATCCCATGATGCTTTTATATCTGGAGTGCCAGAACATTGGCACTCCAGTCTCTGAGCTGTTATCCATTGCTATGATGGAATTTTCCATGATCTTACATGTGTAAAGGCTTTTCATGCCATAATAACTCCTGCATCCTGTGATTGTATCAGAGATGTCATGTGCAGTAGTAAAACTCAATCAAGACATTTGGGTCAGAGACTGCAAAATTTCAGGATGAAACTTCAAGAGAACCTTGAATGCAAAGTTCTATCTGACAAGGGATATTTTCACTGCAGTAATAGGATAATGTTATAAACAATCAATAAACAGTTTCTTAGTCTTTCATGTAGCTTTGTTAGACTGCCAGATAGCAAACAAAGGAATTTTGTCTTGACCTTTAAAGCATGGGGAGTCTGTGTATGATAAATTAGCATAGGCTTGCATTTTGAATCACCTGTTGCATTAGCATACAGAAGCAATCTGAACTGATCATTCATTGCCTTGAACCCAGGTGCAATTTTTTTTTGCTTGCTATGTAGGTAGCAAGATATGGCTTTATGCTTTATTATCTGAACACTAAGTGGGGCACCTTTCTTTGTTATTTACTTAGTCCACACATTCAATAACTCTCATGTGTTATTTAAATGTATTGACCTACCTGTCATTTTTTTTTGGTAGGTCACAATCTGGACTACTCATTGCATAAGCTTTTATGTTCTCATTTTCTGTAATATTTTGAATGGCTGATTCTTCGAGATTAAATACTACACCACTTTGAAACGTGTATATAATAATATAATAATACAGTATCTTTATTTCTACAAGTACATGTACAAGGTATACAAGCCTAGCTGACATCAGTGACATACTACTACATAGAAAGCTGCTTGCTATGCAGAGCATTTCAAGCAAATTAGGTCAGTTTTGTCTCAGGATGAGATCCACACCAGTCAACTAACTCCCAGGTACCTATTTTACTGATGGGTGAACATAGACAACCGGTGTAAAGAAACACTCCCAATTTTTCTTCCCTTGCCAGGAATCAAACCTGGACACTCGCCGTGTGAAGCAAGAGCTTTAGTCACCACGTCGTGGGGCACCATAAATGTCAAACCATAAATGTCAAAACCTCAGAGCTTCATGTTTAATTTTCTTCTTGACACCTCCAGCATCACTATTATTCCTCATGGGTGTTATGGTTAATATCCAGGGATGAGATGGTGTATTGAAAATACAGTACTGTATTCAAAATCACACATCATTCAATTACAATCTTATTTTTTCACACTTTGTAGCATGTATATTCAGAGGCTTTTTAGTGCCAATTTGTTTATGGTTCCAGTTTTTCAGTCATGTATTGTTGAAGTCGTTTTATTTGGGGGGTGGGGGGATCTTGCAAATCAAGGTTCTGCTGTATTTCATTGATAACATCCTGTTTTTTTTTTTATATTTGTTTGAGGGTACACATATGTTATTGGCACACATATATAGCACATTATGTAGGCTTAATCAAGGATAACAAAATTGTCACACAAAGTTATGGTTTGAACCATCTGAATTAAGGCTTGGTCTGCATATTTGTGTTCTTGTTTAGTGTACAGTATACTTTCACAGATTTGTGTTCACATACACCATTAAGCACTTTAATGATCTTGATAGAAATACAGTAGTATTTTCCTTAAAATTTAAGTGAAAAATGTTTAATAGATCTTTAATGGATTATTTTTCATTAATTTTATGGTGTTTTATTAATACTTTGCATTTATTGATAAGTTTTTTATGATTTTTTTTTATAACAAGTTTTTCCTAAACATTGGTGACTTGTTTACATTTTTAAATTTGCAAGTTAGTTTGTTTTATTTTGTTACTTTCAGTACCATGCAGGTTCCTGATTAGATATTGTTGTTATATTTATGCGATGTTCCAAACTTGCTTGGAGCATTCAGGGTAAGGAGTGTTGGTGGTTCAGTCCTCCATCCACTCATTATGAAACACCTTTGCTCTCTGGATGTGTTTACCCAATTCTACATGTCTCTGAAGATAATTCTTTCAATATTTTAAAGAATGATGTAAAAATTTTATTGAAATTTATGTTAATTCTTCCAATAATTGAATGTGATTATGCAATTTCTTGTTCATGAAACATTTTGTTGCAGGTTGGACTACGATGAGGTGTGTGGATTCTACAAAAGAACAGTAGCATCACTAAATGAGGAACAGACGAAGCTTGATGAGAGAATGCAGCCCATCCCTGCAGAGATGCATGGCTCAGTCACCCGCACCCCGCTTGAAAAAATCAAAGATTACGAGGAGGCAGGTAAGTTTATCATATTTTTGCTTTCTGCATATTTTTGGTAGTATATTCGTGGTGCACTTAATTAGAAATGAGCCACTTAGAAATCAGTAGCACATTCTGAAAAATATTTTATGTGGTATATTATGACTGTACATACTGTGTAAAAGTGGATTTCTAATCCCCTATTTTTTAAGCCTAAGTAAAGGAGTTTTTTGGGCAAGATAAAAGTGTATAATGTTAAGTTAGCATAAGATATGGCAATATTTCTTTCACTTGAAATGATCCCTCTATATTATTCAGGTCTGCGTGAGGTGAGTGAAGGGCATGTGGGAGTGCTCCTGTTGGCAGGTGGACAGGGAACTAGGCTTGGAGTTGATTATCCTAAAGGCATGTACGATGTCAAGTTGCCATCTAGGAAGACACTGTACCAGCTTCAAGCTGAAAGATTACTACGGCTTCAGATTCTTGCTAAGGAGAAATATGGCAAGGTATTTCACTATTTTATTGCTAAATTTTGTTTATAGTTTTGTCATAATTCATAATTGTGCATTAATATTTTTACCCTATTCTGAAATTTGTATAAAAATAATCTTGGAAATATATTTCAGTGTGGAAACATTCCATGGTACATTATGACATCCGAGCATACCAAGGAACCCACCATGGATTTCTTCGCTCGTAATCATTACTTTGGTTTGGAGAAGGAAAACCTGGTGGTATTTGAGCAAGGAATGCTACCTTGCTTTACCTTTGATGGCAAGATCATCTTGGAGTCGCCACACAAGGTGGCCCGTGCTCCTGATGGCAATGGTGGGCTGTATAGGGCACTCAGGGTCAGTAGTTCAGTATGCCATGTTAGGTTGCTAAATACACCACTGTTTCATATATTTTAATGCATTACGTTAGGAATTTTGTAGTTCTTGAAACTATGCTTCTACAGTATATAGAATGTGAGGGATAATACTGTATGTATGTACACAGTAATTTATATTTAGAAGCTTTTTTGCACTGTTAACATAATCATACAGAATTTATGTTTAGTGCAGAATTAATAATATTACTTTGTAATGTATGAACACTTATCACTTTCTTCATCCTTGACATCCAGGAGAAGAATGTACTGGAAGACATGGAGCGTCGAGGAATTAAATATGTGCATGTATATTGTGTAGATAACATTCTAGTCAAGATGGCAGATCCCATCTTCATCGGCTACTGCTTGTCTAAAGGAGCGAACTGTGGGGCCAAGGTTGTAGAAAAGGCCTTCCCAACTGAGGCTGTTGGTAAGTTAGACCATATATGATGAGATGTGTCATTAAAAGGGGGTTTGTAATCTTACAAACACTCAGATTATGAATATTTACACTTGCAAATGAGGTCAATAAGAAATAATATTTAAGTGATATTTATTTTAAGAATACTGATCCACAGTCACAAAATTAATGTCACAATAATGTACTGCTAATTGACCTTTGTACAAGTCTTTTCCATAGAAAAATAGTTTTCGAGTTAAATGAGCTTGTTCATAAATTGAAACTCAAGGAAGACAACTCATGTGTTAGTTAAGGACCTCTCAACTAATACAGAATTTTCTACATTATCTTGTATGGCAGTTATTATCATAGGTTTCATGTATTCCAACCCTGTACATCATTTTAAACTGTACTCTATTTTTATAATTACTATAGTTATCAACAAAAGCCTTATTAAACAGCAACTAGGTTGTGATAAGCATACAGAGAATTAGCCTCCACTACTTTTAGTGCTGAATAACCCACGTGGGTTTAACACTTCACAAAATACAATGCAATAAAATGTACTTCTTGTAACAACATCATCTTTATTATACTTGTTTCCAAAGCTTGACTTTTATTAATTTAGTTCATTAAAATTTTCTTTGGAGATGAAAAAATATACTAAATGTCCATCAAATTTACCACGTGAGTGTATAGGGAATCCAAATATTTGCAGTTTTCATTCCTGGGTACCCTACGAAAGTGGAAAATCATTGGAAATTCTTTTGAACATTCAAAGCTGGGGGGTTTCAGCTCAGATTTCAAAATGTGTTTCTAACAAATTTTTGGATTCCAAATTCAAATCTGAACCTTAATTTTGCTCCAGCATGTTCAGTTTCTGTAAAATAGAACTTCACAGTGAATGATTTCACAAAGACATAGGAGAAGAGATAGCAGGGAAACCTGATGCATGGTATAATACCCATGATTGTTATATAACATATGTCATGTAATTCCTCAACACTAAATAGCCAAAATATTGATAATAATGTTTAAGAAAAAAATTAAAAGTGATAGAGACTAAACAAGCTCAGATTCATGATCAGTGGATCAGAATTAGCTTAGAATATCCACTTTGGTTTCTGAGCTGGATAAAAGGTTAAATTTTGTTGGCTGGTGTTGTTAATATGTAAAGAAGTCAAGTTTTCAAAATTAATTTGAAAATAATATCAGCACAAGTTTAAGAATAGAGGATACTTTTAAAAAATATTGACTGAGATTTGCCAAAAAATACAAAAATAGCCACAACACATACATCATATGATCACAAATTATACAAAAAAAAAAAAAAAAGTTTGCTCCTAAAATTGATAAGATAAATTAACATAATAGTAATTCAACCAATATTTCTGTACATTAATCACATTTAACATCACAAAAGAAAATCCACCTTAACCAACCTATTTTTAGTAAAGTGGCAGGACCATGAGTGTATTCACCCTGAAAACTCAAACTGGTAATTATGAAGGGAATCAGGGAAATTGGTTAGCTGAACTTGAGTCCTGGAAAGTACAGTGCCTGCACTCTGAAGAGGGGTAGAAATATGATGCAGTTTTTGAACCATAGTACGTATTTGCATGCCTCTGACAAGACAGTGATGGAGTGAGTGATAATGAAAGTGTTTCTCCTTTCTTGGGACACCCTGCCTCAGTGGGAAATTACTGATGTGTTAAAAAAAAAAAAACGATGTTAACTATTTACATGTTATACTTTAAGGAAATATCTATAATGATTTCTCAATTCAGGTGTTGTGTGTAAAGTTGATGGACTCTATCAAGTAGTTGAGTACAGTGAAATTACTCTTAAGACAGCTCAGAAACGAAACCCTGATGGAAGACTCATGTTTTCTGCTGGCAACATTTGCAACCATTACTTTACCACCGAGTTCCTTAGAAAAGTTGTGTAGTAAGTATTCATTTCTTCATAGTAATTTTCTTGGCTTTTGTTTTCAGGTTTTTCAAAATTTTTATGCTGTTATGTGTTGAAGATTGAATGAGAAGATAATTTGTAAATTAACCTTACAGTATTTACCTTACCTCAAGGAGTTGAATCATTTTAACATTAAATTGTAGGATTGCCTTGTGAGATACAAGAAGAAAATATGAAACTGACCTTTGTTTAATGGTTAAATTTAAAACTAAAACCTTAAGACTTGAGAATATTCATGGTAAAAAGTCCCTGTTGGTGAATGATTAAGAAAATTGAGGCAAAACTGCTGGTTTCATTCAAAATAATGTAAATGGTGAATTCAAACATGAATGCAACACATGTACAGGCAGACCTCTTTAATATAGCACTCACTTTAGAGTGTTCACTAATACTGTTCTTTTCAGTTATACTCATATTTATTATTTTCTGCGCTTGCCTTGCTCCTAATATGGTTTTCGGCAATTTTAAATTTTTTTATTTATTATTTTTACTTTTGCATTATTATTATTATTATTTTTTTATTATTATTATTATTTTTTTTTTGCATGAGCGTGTTAGATAGGAGTGAATCGAGACGAATGATACTTGGGACCTGACGATCTGTTGGAGTGTGAGCAGGGTAATATTTAGTGAAGGGATTCAGGGAAACCGGTTATTTTCATATAGTCGGACTTGAGTCCTGGAAATGGGAAGTACAATGCCTGCACTTTAAAGGAGGGGTTTGGGATATTGGCAGTTTGGAGGGATATGTTGTGTATCTTTATACGTATATGCTTCTAAGCTGTTGTATTCTGAGCACCTCTGCAAAAGCAGTGATAATGTGTGAGTGTGGTGAAAGTGTTGAATGATGATGAAAGTATTTTCTTTTTGGGGATTTTCTTTCTTTTTTGGGTCACCCTGCCTCGGTGGGAGACGACCGACTTGTTGAAAAAAAAAAAAAAAAAAACTTTTGCATTATTTTTTTTAGGCCTAATGCTATTGCACATTTAATAAATCATAGTGTAAATATGATTTTAGTCTTTTATATGCACTGGCAAGTGAAAAAAAAGCTGCAGTTTGGTTTAAGATGATATTTGCTTCACAAAAGTGGTTTGGACATTATACCACCATACGTATTAGTGAGGTATGCCTGTACCGAATACTACATGCTGAAATAAACTGTCATTTCTTCATGCTAGTACTTTTTTTTTTTTTTTTAAGATTTTTTTTTTCTTTTTCAACAAGTCGGCCGTCTCCCACCGAGGCAGGGTGACCCAAGAAAGAAAGAAAATCCCCAAAAAGAAAATACTTTCATCATCATTCAACACTTTCACCACACTCACACATTATCACTGTTTTTGCAGAGGTGCTCAGAATACAACAGTTTAGAAGCATATACGTATAAAGATACACAACATATCCCTCCAAACTGCCAATATCCCAAACCCCTCCTTTAAAGTGCAGGCATTGTACTTCCCATTTCCAGGACTCAAGTCCGACTATATGAAAATAACCGGTTTCCCTGAATCCCTTCACTAAATATTACCCTGCTCACACTCCAACAGATCGTCAGGTCCCAAGTATCATTCGTCTCCATTCACTCCTATCTAACATGCTCATGCACGCTTGCTGGAAGTCCAAGCTTATTAAAGCTTATTAAGATTATTAAACATTATTTACAACTGTAAATCTTGTCTTCAACTGTGAACTGTTAATTTTTCACAACAGCTGAGATAGAATACATTTAGTATTAAAATTATATATAAAGCAAAAGTAATGTGGTAGTATGTATAATGGCATTTTAAAGTTATAAACTAATAAGTAATGTAGTTGCAGTAGTATACACAATTTACAGTATGTAATATTTATTGGTTATCAAATAAACTTTCCATATTGCTCAAGTTTATGTTGTGTTGAATTAAACATACCTTGTTACAACTGTTGGACATACCACTGTCTGTTTATTAAGTTTCTGGTTTCGAACATGTATTATGCCCATGATGCAGAGGCAATATGCATACCTCGTCTCACCAAGTCATGACTTATGAAATCATAATATGTAACACGATTGCAAACAAGCCAGGGTACAGGTGGGGTTTGAACCCATGGTGACTTGAGTGGTAAAACTCCAGGCCAGTGTGTAAGCTACTGGCTTATGCACTGGCCTGGAGTTTTACCACTCACTTGCCATGGGTTCAAACCCCACCCATTCTGTGGTTTCACTTGAGTCAGTAGTTCAGCCCCATATTATTCCTCCATTTTTTTATTTTTATTATTTTGTACAAACATCTGTACGAGGCAGGGTGATAAAAAAGATTAAGGGAAAAATACAAAATAAAAATACTTTTCAACATTATTCAATATTTATTTAACAATATGACATTATCATGTTTGAAGATGGTTATGCAAGCAGTTTGGATATATAAAGAAAAACAATATGCTATAGACGCTTTTTAAAGTAGGATTGTGCTTCCATTAGATTCAGTGATAGTTGATTAATCAACGAGGTTGTTATCCATTCAAGCAAAATATTACCAAAGGATGTCAGGTCCAAGTAACCAGTTAACCGCTATTACAAGGTTTGGAGGTAGTTACAAGTTACAGTCCTAACACTTTGAAAGGGATTAGCTTTGTAGATAGATTTATATTTCCATGATTGTGTCATTTTAAATGGAAAACACTAACAATTTGCAGTGACTAATGTTTTTTCTTTTTTTTTGTTTTCTGACTATATGGGTAAACGCATTGTTAAAAACCTTTAACCGGTCCCATCGTGGAATTACAACCCTTCCACCTTATAAGAGGGGTTGGTACATTATTTTATACAGTTTGGATAGATAAAGTTTGTTCTTATACATATAGCTTCTAAAACTGTTTTTTTCCTGAGCAACTATGCAAAATCATCTTCATAAATCATGTGAAGTCAAATCCCAAGTCTGAAAAAAGTTTTTCATATGCTGCCCAATTGAACCATATTTTTCTTTTTCAAATCTTTGACACCTCATCCTTCTTTTTCTTTTGGCGTTCCACTTTCTACCTGTGTGCGGCAGAGGTCCCAAACTCATTGAACTAAAAAAAAAAAATTTTTCTTTATATTAAAATTGTATCGATAAATATATACTGAAATAGGTCATTTTTATTTGATTTCCTATTTTAATCCCATTCTTTCAATCTAAGATTTAGTTACGTTTACCTTAATTTAATATTTATTCAAAATTAATTACATTTTTGTTGTTGTTTATTTTTGAAAATACTGAAAGTGTAATTTAGGAATAAATAAACTGCATTGGAGGTGACTTATAATAATTCTGTTTTTACTTCCATTCTTTACATCTGCAGTGGGTAAGTATCGTACTGAGGTTTGGTATGGTCATTAGGTTTTTGCTGTGGTAGTAGCAGTTGATGTGTTGGTCTTGCTCTTGTTAATCATAGCCAAGAATTTGGCATTCAGTGATAAGATTTTGATATGCAGTATCAAAACTTTTTCCCCATTTATAATATTTATTTACATATTTATTCTTTATTTATACTATAGTGTGCTGTATAAATTACAGTACAATATATTTGTTTTAATGTTTTCTTATCTCTTCCACATACTGCATTAAAAGTGGAACTGAATTTATTTCCACATAATTTGTAAATAAAATAAGCAGTCTGAATGAACAAATCTTTGGCTTTATTTTCACTTGCTTATAATAAATTAAATTGCTTTGTATATAACATTTAGTGAGATATATTGCCAAGTAACTTTTTTTAATGTAAATGTAGAGCAGAGTTTTAAATGTGTTTGTTAAATGTGTTATAGGTGAAAGATTCCTTTCAAAGCGATCTTGTAGTTAGTACAAATCATTTTTTTAATTTTCACTAGTTGAAACATGTTGGGCTTCCCTGTGTCTGTATATAATCTTCTTGTCTTGCTAAATAATAGTTAGTCAAGGCTGTTGGCTCTGGGGAAGAAGTCTTGTGAGATTGTTTCTCCTTTACATAAAATGACTTCATAGTTATTACCTTGAAACTGAGTTTCCTTTATTATGATGGGATTATGAAATATCTGTAGAGCCTTTTCCCCATTTTCTATTAAGAGATTTTATTTAGGTTGATGTAAGTCAAGAATACTTCATAGAGTATATGCATGCATTGCTTTTAAACTGCATTAAAGCTAAATGTGATGCAGATTTTTTTTATAGCATTGAGTAATACCTCCATTATTTTCAATATTTTACTCCTCATTTGTCTGCATAGATTAAAGAATTTGAATTTGCCTTTGTATTAGGGTTAGTCTAAAGCAGATTAATAATGTTAATAGATATACAGTAGATTCCATATTTATTCATATCTTCAGTAATGCAAAGTTAAATGAGCAAAACTGTGTATTCACTGATATGTTACTTACTGACATGTTTGCTGAAGTCTTGTGTTACTGATATCAAGCCCATTGAACACTTTATCATATCTAGTCTTAAAGCTGTGTATAAAGTTTTCCTGGATTGCTTCAACATTGAATTCATTTAACTTCTCTGTCATTCTGAAACTAAAAACAAGAAGCACTTCATAATAACTATTTGACTTATCATTATTATTAGCTTCCTTCAGTGTTCCCTTTTTTTTCTGGTACTCTCATTTCGACTTGTCAGTCCTTATCTGCCCTTGTAATTCCTCAGTCTTTTGTATGTTGTAATAAAGTTTTCCTTAGTTGCCCTCTCCAGTCTTCAGGTTCAGGTTCTCTGCTCATATTGCATTTCCCTCAGCTCTGGAACTAGTTGGATTACAGACCTTTGCATCTTTTCTAGGTTGTGTTTTTTATTTGTGCCTAAACAGCATCTTTTTTGACAGTTTTGAGTAGTATAAAAAAGGTATTTTCTGTTCATTGTGATGTTTTGTGTGAAATAATAATACAGTGATTTTCTCTTGTTTTAACTAATTTGAGCCTGTGATGTTCAAATTACTCCATGTTTAAGTGGAGCAGAATTTTTCCTCTGTAAGCCATGTGTGTCATAAGAGGCTACTAAAATGCTGGAAGCAAGGGGCTAGTAATCCCTTCTGTATAAATTACAAAAGGGTTCAGACATGTAGAGAGGATGGAACAAAATAGAATGACTTCAACTGTGTATAAATCTGTAGCAGAGGGAAGGTGGGGTAGGGGTCAGCCTAGGAAAGGTTGGAGGGAGGGGGTAAAGGAGGTTTTGTGTGCAAGGGGCTTTGACTTCTAGCAAGCATGCATGAGCATTTTAGATAGGAGCAAATGGAGACAAGTGGTTTCTAGGACTTGATGTGCTTTTGGAGTGTGAGCAAGGTACCATTTATGAAGGGAGTCAAGGAAACCAGCAGGCCGGACTTGAGTCCTGGAGATGGGAAGTACAGTATCTTCACTCTGAATGAGTGGTGTTAATGTTCCAGTTTTATAACTGTAGTGTAAATGCACCTCTGGCAAGATGGTGATGGAGTGAATGATGATGAAAGTTTTTCCTTTTTGGGCCACCCTGCCTTGGTGGGAGAAGGCTGATGTGTTAATAATAAAATAATAAATAAAAAATAAAAGCTTTTGTTTTCTTTTAAGGTCACCTGTCTTGGTGGGATATAGCTGGTTTGTTGAAAAAAAAAGTGCCCAAATTATAAATTGATAAATAATGGATTGTTTACCCCATAAAAGAAGCTACCTATAGTATTTTTGAATACATCCATATGCCATGTGCATGAAGACGATTTGAATAAGTGCTATAGGTACCCAAAAACCAGAATTTGCAATTTTCTCTTTAAAAAAACTGTAATATGTAAATATGTATTATTTTTCAAATAGCAGAAAAATTACAAATAAGAGAGACCACTGTATACTGTGTACTTTTATGGCAATACTTTTGTGTTGGATTAAGTTGTATACGTAATTGTGATTTTAATATATATATATATATATATATATATATATATATATATATATAAACTTTCTGTTGAAAGAAAGATATATATATATAATAATATATATATATTATATTATATATATATATATATTATATATATATATATATATATATATATATATCGGTGGGAGACGGCCGACTTGTTGAAAAAAAAAAAAAAAAAAAAAAAAATATATATATATATAATATGTGTGTGTGTATGTACTCATATGTAGTTTCAGGGATCAAGTCACAGCTCCTGGCCTCTGTGTGTGTGTGTGTGTGTGTGTGGTGTGTGTGTGTGTGTGTGTGTGTGTGTGTGTTGTGTGTGTGTGTGTGTGTGCATGTGCATGTGCATGCACCCACACCCACTCACACAGTTCAGTGTATGTAGTATTTAAGATACATGAATGATGAAAGATAAAGTTCATTAGCAATATCAGTTTTTGAGCACTTCATAATATATCTGCCGAGTCTTACAGACAAAATATGTACAGCCTCTCCTGACCTAGAAAATGTACAAAGAACCTTCACGGCGTGCATAACGAAGATAAAACACCTCAATTACTGGGAGTGCTTGAAGTTCCTGAACCTGTACTCCCTGGAACGCAGGCGGGAGAGATACATGATTATATACATCTGGAAAATCCTAGAGGGACTAGTACCGAACTTGCACATGAAAATTACTCACTATGAAAGCAAAAGATTCAGCAGACGATGCAACATCCCCCCAATGAAAAGCAGGGGTGTCATTAGCATGTTAAGAGACAACACAATAAGTGTCAGGGGCCCAAGACTGTTCAACTGCCTCCCAGCATACATAAGGAGGATTACCAACAGACCCCTGGCTGCTTTTAAGCAGGCACTGGACAAGCACTTAAAGTCGGTATCTGACCAGCCGTGCTGTGGCTCGTACGTTGGATTGCGTGCAGCCAGCAGTAACAGCCTGGTTGATCAGGCTCTGATCCATCATGAGGCCTGGTCACAGACCGGGCCACAGGGGCGTTGACCCCCAGAACTCTCTCCAGGTAAACTCCAGGTAAACTCAACGACGGAGTTCTGTTCCTGAGACCACGTTGTTAAACGAATTCATCGCTAGGTGAGGAACATACTATAATGGTACTGGGTTTGTGTCAGCCATCTTTGATATTGTTTTAGTGTCACCTTTGCACCATTTATAACATTTTTGGTATATTTTTAAATGTTTTTACAGTAGTGTACTGAATATTGAAAAAAACAGAATAGAGGAAATCAGCTCTAATATACATTATTCAGGTATAAATACTGGTCAGAGAGCCCTTCGTAAGTCCGAGGCATCAGTAAATGAGTGCCTCCTTAGGTGAGGAGAGGCTGTTTATGTATTTAAACCTTATTTAAAAGATTTCCTAAAACATTTATTTTTGAATAACTTATTTCTTTTAGTAAACCTCAAATCAGGAAATAAAATGCATCCAAACTCAAAGGAAGCCTTTTATTTAATAACGTTTTACCATAGTGAGTTTTTAAGAGTACTGTACTCACCAAAGACTCACTGACGGTGAAACATAATTAAAAAAATAAATTACACTTTTTATGTCTTTAATTTACAATTTACCAGCTTTCATCATTTACTACAAACCTAATTAACAAAAAAAAAGGCACAATACCATGACTGGAACAATACACAAATACCCCGGGTTATTTGTGTACAAACATAATTTTATGACATATGCTACAAATAATTTTCTAACATCATAATTTTTTTACAGTGACTATGAAGCCAGCATGCATCATCATGTAGCTAAGAAGAAAATTGGCACAGTTAACTCTGATGGCAAGACTATTAAACCAGAGAAGCCTAATGGCATTAAAATGGAGAAGTTTGTCTTTGATGTCTTTCAGTTTTCAAAGTGAGTGCTACTGAATTATGTGAACAGTCTACACTCCTAGGTAAACAGTGGAATAAAGTTATGCCAATTCCAGATTGGTTAGGGGAATTTTGTTGTATTTTTTTTTATGTCAGTTTTTAGCAAGGTTAGACTAGGTTGCTTTATTAGTTTAGGTACAAAAAATAGCAATAAAAATTACATAAATATATTTGTAGGGACATCTGAGATGTATCTATATGCCTCTGGCAAGACAGTGATGATGTGAATGATGGTAAAATTTTTTTTGGGGTCACCCTGCCTCGGTGGGAGACGACCATTGTGTTAAAAAAATTAGTTTAACTTGAATAATTGTATGCAGAATAGGATGAGGCTGTCAATTACCATGTACTTTTTTATGTAGAAAGTGAACATAGAAAAGAGTAAGGTGATGAGAGTATCAAATGATTTAGATAAAGAAAAATTGGATATCAAATTGGGGAGGAGGAGTATGGAAGAAGTGAATGTTTTCAGATACTTGGGAGTTGACATGTCAGTGGATGGATTTATGAAGGATGAGGTTAATCATATAGGTAGTAGGTTGATAGACAGCAACCGCCCAGGGAGGTACTACTGTCCTGCCAAGTGAGTGTAAAATGAAAGCCTGTAATTGTTTTACATGATGATAGGATTGCTGGTGTCCTTTTTTCTGTCTCATGAACATGCAAGATTTCAGGTATGTCTGCTACTTCTACTTACACTTAGGTCACACTTCACATACATGTACAAGCACATATATACACACCCCTCTGGGTTTTCTTCTATTTTCTTTCTAGTTCTTGTTCTTGTTTATTTCCTCATATCTCCATGGGGAAGTGGAACAGAATTCTTTCTCCATAAGCCATGCGTGTTGTAAGAGGCAACTAAAATGCCGGGAGCACGGGGCTAATAACCCCTTCTCCTGTATATATTACTAAATGTAAAAGGAGAAACTTTTGTTTTTCCTTTTGGGCCACCCCGCCTCGGTGGGATACGGCCGATGCGTTGAGAGAGAGAGAGAGGTTATTCATAGAATTGATGAAGGAAAAAAGGTGAGTGGTGCATTGAGGTATATGTGGAGGCAAAAAATGTTATCTATGGAGGCAAAGAAGGGAATGTATGAAAGTATAGTAGTACCAACACTCTTATATGGGTGTGAAGCTTGGGTTGTAAATGCTGCAGCGAGGAGGCGGTTGGAGGCAGTGGAGATGTCCTGTCTTAGGGCAGTGTGTGGTGTAAATATTATGCAGAAAATTCAGAGTGGAAATTAGGAGAAGGTGTGGAGTTAATAAAAGTATTAGTCAGAGGGCTGAAGAGGGTTTATTCAGGTGGTTTGGTCATTTAGAGAGAATGGATCAAAGTAGAATGAGATGGAGAGCGTATAAATCTGTAGGGGAAGGAAGGCGGGGTAGGGGCCCTCCTCGAAAAGGTTGGAGGGAGGGGGTAAAGGAGGTGTTGTGGGCGAGGAGCTTGGACTTCCAGCAGGCATGCTTGAGCGTGTTCGATAGGAGTGAATGGAGATGAATGGTATTTGGGACCTGACGATCTGTTGGAGTGTGAGCAGGGTAATATTTAGTGAAGGGATTCAGAGAAACCAGTTATTTTTATATAGCCGGACTTGAGTCCTGGAAATGGGAAATACAATGCCTGCACTCTACAGGAGGGGTTCGGGATATTGGCAGTTTGGAGGGATATGTTGTGTATCTTTATACGTATATGCTTCAAAACTGTTGTGTTTTGGACACCTCTGCAAAAACAGTGATTATGTGTGAGTGAGGTGAAAGTGTTGAATGATGATGAAAGTATTTTCTTTTTGGGGATTTTCTTTCTTTTTGGGTCACCCTGCCTTGGTGGAAGACGGCCGACTTGTTAAAAAAAAAAATTGTATGAAATAAGATTAACAAGCTCATCTTTTCATTTATCCTTTTTTTCTGTATGAATTAGTGATTTCTGTATGTTTAACAAATATTTTTGACATGAAAGATTTATCTTATATGTTCTGTGGGAATATATTCCACAATGAGTTAATGAAAGCTCTTGTTGTAATGTATTTATAATTGTCTGAAAAGTAACTTGTTCATATTTTTGCATCTTCCACAGCACTTTAGCAGTGTGGGAAGTGATACGTGAGGATGAATTTGCTCCACTCAAAAATGGGGATGGAGCAGAGAAGGATACACCAACCACATGTCGCCATGCACTCTTTTCCCTTCACCACCGCTACCTCCTCAATGCTGGCGGTACTCTCATAGATTCGGAGGGGGAACCTCTTCCATTAATTCCCAGGTAAGAAATGCCAGTGTATTAATATAAATGTTAAAAATAGCAAATCCTAAGCTTTTGTATGTTCAAACACACAAAACAGGGACCATAAGAAAAATGAAGGGATAAAAGAATGCAGTGTAAAGGTATGGTATACAAATGCAAAAGAGTTACAAGCAAAATCTTGAAGATGAAAATAAGAATATCAGAAGCAAAATCAGATATAATAGCTAAAGCAGGGATGAAGTTTACAGGAATAATTACAAATGTGACAGCCCTTGTGGTATTTTGCATAGTAAGGGGAGAGAGAGAGAAAGAGCAGTAAGGGAGGGGGAGGGGGAAGAGGGATTATTGATTAGAGGTATGTGGAGATTTAAAAATGATCAGTCTCTTCAGAGATTATGCAGCAGGGTTAATGGATACAGAAGGAGTCAGGGTAATACCAGCAATTTGCATTCCTCCACAAAACACATGGTGATCAAGATATGAATATGAAGAGAATAGTAGTATAGTGATACACATTCATGAAAGGAAGCAGCACAGAAGACACAGAACAAAGCCAATACTACTAATCATAGAATAAACTAATCAGAGGAGGTTGAATGTAAGAACTAGGAATTCCATGGAGACTAGAAACTAGGGGAATAAAACTAATGAAGCCAGCAATGAAAAACCTCATCTGCCAATATATTTATAAAGAAGCCATGAATACAAGAAGAGAGTATGAATAAAGAAGACTAGATATAGTGTGAGAAAATTTACATATAGTAATATGTTTTAGTTACTTGGTGAATTGGGGCTGGAGAGAAGTGAGGGCAGAGAGATGCCAGAAAAAATGGACTGTAAGAGAGTTGCATAGGTAGAAGGGAGTTCTTGGATGGAGTACAGCGGAAAAGAGAATGGAGAAGTAAGATAGTATATGAGATGAGGGAGAGGCTTCTAAAAGTATACATGGAAGCAACATACAGATGTATACTAGTGAGAAGGACAGGAAATACAAAAAGAGAGTAACCAAGGTTTACAAAGTATAGTCAGGCAAAAACTATGAGTAGTAAGTCATGGAAAACAGACATAAAAAATAAATGCAAAAAACAGAACTGAACATGGGAGCTAAGTATAACTATTTAAGGATAAAGCAACAGAAAGAGTATTAAAAAATTACACAACAGCATTAGCTAAAATAAAACCAAAACAGAAGTGCAGTCACACAAGGTGGAAGATGGCTGAAAAGCTAAGTAACAAGACTTTATAAAATGAAGGGGTGAATTGACAAAGGATGACAGGGAGGTATATGCAGAACTGAGTTGAAGATTTATGGTCTTCATCGAGGACTCTGAAGATGCCAAGAAAAAAGGAAGAAGTGCACAACTAACTTTAAAAGAAATTTAAACAAGTGAAAGGGTTCTTAAGGAAATTAAGTACGTACAATGAAAGTAAGTGAAACAGACAAGATATACAATGGGTGTTACTAGTAGGAGCAGAGGGACTGAGAGACCTTATAGCAATGATTTATAACACGTTAGTAGAGTGGATAGAAATGTTTGTGATGAAGTTGGTAACTAAACTGAAGAGGAGGAGCTATGAGAAAAGAGTTAAGGAACTCGGCTCTTCATCATTCATAGATAGCGGCTAAAAATTCCATTTAACCTATAGGGAGGTTAGGAAAGGCTTTTTCCATCACAGGATAGTGAACAAGTGAATGTTCTACATGAAGAGTTGGTGGAAGTAATCACTATATGCAGGTTCATGAGTTGGTGTGAGTGAGCTTTAAAGTCCAAGAATTGGTAAAGCTGGTTGATCATACTGTAGTTAAAAGATGGGCCCAGGAGCTATGACCCAAATGCAAGTAGTTGAATACACAAAGAAGCAAAAGCTACTTTACAGTCACATGAAGCAAAAACAAAGGATATAGAAAATCACTGTGAATAGAAAGGTAAATACTCACAAGAAATAACTGGGAAGTACAGTATACCAAGAGCTCAGCAGAAGATTACTTAGAAAGGGGCCAGTACTCTCACCTAGTAAAACAAAAGTTCAAAGGAATGCATTCATACTGGTGCATACTTGAATTCAGGAAAAATGAAGAGTAAGGGAGGTATGATCATAATACACAAATTACTGTGGAGCATAGACAGGGTAGAAAAAAAAGAAGGAAACTTTACTCAAATTATTAAAACTTAAACCAAGTAAATATTTATAAGCAGTAAAAAGCCCTACTGGTTTCTTATTGCTTGGTAAACAGGGGCAACAGGTGTAAGAAAATATGCACAATGTCTCCCATTACCCCAGGACTGAACCCAGGTTCTTCAGGTGTGAGACACGGGTGATACCGTTAAGCCATAGGTCAGCAGCAGTGTAACAGAAACAAGGGGACATGGTTGTAAATTACACATCCAAATAAATAGCAATGAATAAAATTTTTAAAAGAGGCTCGTCCAATATTATATTATTTTTCAAGGATTGTATGTAAAAGAGTTTGCTTCTTAAAACTAGTGGAAAAAAAAAAAAAATGTTATACTTTTCCACCTCTTCCACCTTATACCTTTCAGTTATACTTTATTTCTTAGGAGTAAATAAAAGACTTTCAGTGCATGTTGCATGAGTATTTGTAGTTATTAGATTATAGTTCATTTTTCCATTACATATTATACAGGTGCTCCTTCACTTACAATGAGGTTACATTCTGATAAACCCTTTGTAAGTTGAAAATACTGAGTTGAACACGAATATGATATGCTAAATAAATAAGTAAATAAATAAATACTGCTACTGAATAAGTAAAAAATAAATAATTACTGTAATTACCTAAATACCAGTATTGAAGAGTAAATAAATGAATACAGGTTACAGACTTGCTACCTTCATGTTGGGTAATTGTCTTAGGTTTTATCGTACAGTCGAAATATCGTAAGTCTAACCATTTTAAGTCAAGGAGCACCTGTATATGGTAGTATGACTGAGGAGCCTAGCTGAGCTAACAGTTTAATTAACAGCGAGAGATTTAGCTCACTTCTGAGTAGACTCTATTTAGTTAAGTCAAACATTTCAAGTCAAGCATTTCATTTACAATGTTTCCTTTTAAGTTATAACATTCCTTTGTAAATGTTTACTTATAGTTTAGGAACTGGTATGCTATTTTGCAGTTTTTTTTAATGCAATTTTTATGGCTAAATTTCATGTTTTGGTTCTTTTAGTTCAGAATCATAGGGGAGCAGTTAATACAGGAAGTCTAAATAACATAGTTGTCTGGTCTCAGTTATAATCTGCTTGTTCATCACATGCATTTCACACTGAAAGAAATCTTCCTTCACCTAGGTTTTAGTTTCAGTAATGGTTATGAAGATTTAACTGATGTCTGGGTATTATAGACAAAATATTTATTATTACTTACTATTATTGTGTATAGAATACTTTTTCTTGTTGATGCATGAGAGATTTTTTTTTAGCTATTGTTTTGCTATTTTTGTTCACTAACTAGCTTTCCCCTTTAAAATGGCTTTTATAGTAGGCTGTTGATATTTTTTTGCATTTTATGAAGTCAAATTAAAGCACAGATAAATGACTAGCATGCCTTGTTGTGTCACCTCTCAAATACTGACATATGTTATAGGCCAGAAGACAGACCAGTGTCGGTACTAACCAGGTATGTAACTTTTGTTAGAGTGGAGTGGTCTTGAGTGGGGTATTTTGAGTGCTGAGCTAATTACAAGGAAACACCGATGTCAAATAGATATTACAGCTTGCTTAGTTTTTTATTAGCATTTGACAAATTGTATAAAGACACATTTTTCAAAGATTCAATTTTTGTATGTATAAATTGGTTTAAGGTGGCTGTGTATAATTGACCATTTTCTAGCTGCAATAAATGTAGTATTTACATTGACTTAATTAATATACAGGAGGGCCCCACTTTATGGCATTTGGCTAATGCAGCAGTTTTCAGCTATGTGCATTCTTCATACATTCAGACTTCTGAGAATACATACATTCACCACATACTATAAGCTAAGGATGAAAATATTTTAAAGTAAGTAATGTGTGTATTGTATATTGCTCACTTAATATATGATAGTGTAAACATGTTATCAGTTTTTATATGCATTTGAAAGTGTACTTTAGAGTGATTTTTCACTCTACAGTAGTATTCGAGAACCTAACCTTCTGTTTAAGCAAGGCCCTTCTGTATACTATACTCATCAAATTATTTTATATTTATATGATCAAGTGAAAAGATTCACAATTCCATTAGGTCAGTCTATTTGGCATCAAAATTTCTATGTGGAAGTAGTTTATAAAGACATGCATTTCAAAACATGTTTTTATTGGGACTGCATTTTGCTCTCTATAGAGCAAAATGCTGTCCCATGATAAGTTTTTTTTTTTCTACAGTGTGTGCCTTTTTGTCACTGTTGTTAACAGTGTGCCTTTTAGATTTGAGTCGTTATACATTATGGGGGTAGCTTGTATGGTGTATTTGGGTGCACCTGTACTCACCTGTTTGTACTCACCTATTTGTGGTTGCAGTGGTTGAGTGAGTCATAGCTCCTTGCCCTGTCTCTTCACTGATCATTACTAGGTCCTCTCTCTCCCTGCTCCATGAGCTTTATCAAACCTCATCTTAAAACTATGTATGGTTCCTGCCTCCACTGTCATTTTCTAGGCCATTTCACTTCCTGACAACTCCATGACTGAAGAAGTACTTCCTAACATTCCTTTGACTCATCGGAGTCTTCAACTTCCAATTGTGACCCCTTGTTTCTGTGTCCCATCTCTGGAACATCCTGTCTTTGTCCACCTTGTCAATTCATCGTAGTATTTTATATGTCGGTATCATGTCTTCCCTAATCCTCCTGTCCTCCAGTGTCATCAGGCCAATTTCCCTTAACCTTTCTTCATAGGACAATCCCCTTAGCTCTAGGACTAGTCTTGTTGCAAACCTTTGCACTTTCTCTAATTTTTTGACATGCTTGACCAGGTGTAGATTCCAAACTGGTGCTTCATACACCAATATGGGCCTGACATACATGGTGTACAGAGTCTTGAACGATTCCTTACTGAGGTATTGGAACGCTATTCTTAGGTTTGTCAGGCAACCATGTGCTGCAGCAGTTATCTGGTTGATGTGCCCTTCAGGAGTTGTACTCGGTATTATACTCATCCCAAGATCTTTTTCCTTGAGTGAGGTTCGCAGTCTTTGGCCACCTAGATTATACTCTGTCTGTGGTCTTCTTTACTCTTCCCCGATCTTCATGACTTTGCAATTGGCAGGGTTAAATTCAAGGAGCCAGTTTTCTGTGTGTGTGTATGTATGTGTGTGTGTTTGTTTGTACTCACCTAGTTGTGGTTGCAGGGGTCAAGTCACAGCTCCTGGCCCCACCTTTTCACTGGCCACTACTAGGTCACTCTTCCTGCTCCATGAGCTTTATCATACCTCTTCTTAAGGCTATGTATGGATTCTGCCTCCACTACATCACTTCCCAGACTATTCCACTTCCACTTCCAAAATTAATATTGCTCCTAGTCTCCATTTTTTTTTTTCAAGCAAATAAAAAATAAAAAGCTTCTTTTAAAATGAGAGGGAATCTTTTTCTGAAAATAATGACACTAAAAGTACGAATTTGATAGAAAACGTATGGAATTGTGAAGGCACAAATTAGCGGTCTTGGTGCCATTTATGCATTGGCAATTTCACTGACTTTGAGTCCTATTCGATCAAATTCTTAGCTATTTTCCTAGTAAGTCTTCTGTTCTACTGATTGAGCACAAGAAACTGCCAATTCAACTATTACAACTATCCTATAAAGTGCACAGAATTCGGTAATTTGGCCAATTTTACACAAAATTAAAAGTAAAAAATACCAATTTAAAAACAGAGTGAATAATAAACAATGTAAACATTCCTGGCACTAAAACACCATATCCTCTGTTCATTAACCATGTCTCCAGGCCTCTTCTATATTACACTTGCCTTACATTTGGAATTCATAAGCACATAAAAATAGATGATTTACTTAATTTCTTGAATAATAAAATAGAACCAGGAATGATTGATCATAATTTACAGCACCCCAATAAGTGAATTAGACCTATTAAAAACCTATAAAATGTATCAGGGGGGAGGGGAAGAGGGGTATGGGGGGTCCTTTCCTCAGGAAAATTGGCAAAAATTTAATATTTCTGTTACTTTAAGCTCAGTTTCAAGATACTTCCAATCCTAAAATCAACTAAAATCATTTCTATTTCAGTAGTATGTCTTACATACTATCAAATGATACCAAGAAATGGCCAATAAAACCATAAAAACCATCCTAGAAAACACCTCAAAGTTGCTATTTTAAACCAAAGACAAGGTCAGAGTTTTGCTTTTCTCATCATGTACTGCACAAAGCAGGATTTTTTTTTTTTGTACTCTGTACACTCGCCTCGCAAACCCATTCTCTTGTATCTAGGCCAGAATTTACCACTCACAGCTTATCTGTGAGGGACCATGGCCTCAGTGACTTAGTTCCATATGACAGCCACCAAAACTGTTCAAAATGCTTTGGGCCTTATTATACTACCAATCTCTACAATCATCCATTTTTTCCAACATAAGGATTCACTTTAATATACTTTTAGTGGTTAAATTATTATACAGTATACTGTAAATTCTTATTGGGTAAACCTTTGTATATTCTTAGTGGGTAAATGCTTGTATATTCTTAGTGGGTAAATGCTTGTATATTCTTAGTTGGTAAATCCTTGTATATTCTTAGTGGGCAGATTATTGTATATTTATATACCATTATTGTACTGTTTATTTCTATATGAAAGCTCTGGGTTAAGTCCATGTAGGTGGGCAGAACTAAAAATATATTTTTCTTGTAGTATGTATAATTTAACCCTGTTAGATGGCTATGTAAAGTCCTTAGATTAAGCTACAATTTATTGTGCAGAATATTGCCAGATGACTGTGAAACAAAAACCTGTAACTGTTTTGCATGATGGTAGGATTGCTGGTTTCTTTTTCTGTCTCATAAACACGCTAGATAACAGGGATATCTTGCTACTCCTACTTACACTTTGGTCACACTTCACAGACACGCACATGCATATATATATACATACATCTAGGTTTTTCTCCTTTTTCTAAATAGCTCTTGTTCTTCTTTATTTCTTCTATTGTCCATGGGGAAGTGGAAAAGAATCTTTCCTCCGTAAGCCATGCGTGTCGTATGAGGCGACTAAAATGCCGGGAGCAATGGGCTAGTAACCCCTTCTCCTGTAGACATTTACTAAAAAAGAGAAGAAGAAAAACTTTATAAAACTGGGATGCTTAAATGTGCGTGGATATAGTGCGGATGACAAGAAACAGATGATTGCTGATGTTATGAATGAAAAGAAGTTGGATGTCTTGGCCTAAGCGAAACAAAGCTGAAGGGGGTAGGAGAGTTTCAGTGGGGGGAAATAAATGGGATTAAATCTGGAGTATCTGAGAGAGTTAGAGCAAAGGAAGGGGTAGCAGTAATGTTAAATGATCAGTTATGGAAGGAGAAAAGAGAATATGAATGTGTAAATTCAAGAATTATGTGGATTAAAGTAAAGGTTGGATGCGAGAAGTGGGTCATAATAAGCGTGTATGCACCTGGAGAAGAGAGGAATGCAGAGGAGAGAGAGAGATTTTGGGAGATGTTAAGTGAATGTATAGGAGCCTTTGAACCAAGTGAGAGAGTAATTGTGGTAGGGGACCTGAATGCTAAAGTAGGAGAAACTTTTAGAGAGGGTGTGGTAGGTAAGTTTGGGGTGCCAGGTGTAAATGATAATGGGAGCCCTTTGATTGAACTTTGTATAGAAAGGGATTTAGTTATAGGTAATACATATTTTAAGAAAAAGAGGATAAATAAGTATACAAGATATGATGTAGGGCGAAATGACAGTAGTTTGTTGGATTATGTATTGGTAGATAAAAGACTGTTGAGTAGACTTCAGGATGTACATGTTTATAGAGGGGCCACAGATATATCAGATCACTTTCTAGTTGTAGCTACACTGAGAGTAAAAGGTAGATGGGATACAAGGAGAATAGAAGCATCAGGGAAGAGAGGGTGAAGGTTTATAAACTAAAAGAGGAGGCAGTTAGGGTAAGATATAAACAGCTATTGGAGGATAGATGGGCTAATGAGAGCATAGGCAATGGGGTCGAAGGGGTATGGGGTAGGTTTAAAAATGTAGTGTTAGAGTGTTCAGCAGAAGTTTGTGGTTACAGGAAAGTGGGTGCAGGAGGGAAGAGGAGCGATTGGTGGAATGATGATGTAAAGAGAGTAGTAAGGGAGAAAAAGTTAGCATATGAGAAGTTTTTACAAAGTAGAAGTGATGCAAGGAGGGAAGAGTATATGGAGAAAAAGAGAGAGGTTAAGAGAGTGGTGAAGCAATGTAAAAAGAGAGCAAATGAGAGAGTGGGTGAGATGTTATCAACAAATTTTGTTGAAAATAAGAAAAAGTTTTGGAGTGAGATTAACAAGTTAAGAAAGCCTAGAGAACAAATGATTTGTCAGTTAAAAATAGGAGAGGAGAGTTATTAAATGGAGAGTTAGAGGTATTGGGAAGATGGAGGGAATATTTTGAGGAATTGTTAAATGTTGATGAAGATAGGGAAGCTGTGAT